TGTCAACATGAAATTGGTAGCTTTCATTATTTGCTGCAAACTGTAGAACCTCTGGCTTACTTCTAAAATCTGCTGGAGGAGACCAAAGCTGAGTTGAAAACCAGGATTCATTCGTGAACTTTCTCTGCCTGGATATAAAGTGAAACTTTTTCAAAGGGAGTTCAGTTGGATGGAGGTTCTTTCTAGAGCCGGTTGTTTCACTTGTTTTGTTCAAAGATGTTCAGTTGACAGTCACAGAGGAGGAAAGAAACCAAAAGACATTGCTTTCTGGTGGTTTTTAGTTGGACAGAGAAGTGCAGATTTTTTCCCCCCTTTTTAGAGATTCTGGTTCCTGCAGACGGTTTATTTTTGGTGAATTTTTAAATGTTGAAACGTCCAGAATGAAGTGATTCTGATGAAATGTCGCAATTTTAAGCTTAAATTTGATTATTTTTCACAAGGGGACCACACATCACACATGATGTGTACGGAGACTGTTAGGAAGTAAGAAATATGAAGATTTTTTCTGTTTTTACAGTTTCCTGCTCTGGTAAACGCTGTAATTTTGGTGATTTTTTTTTTTTTTTTAGAGATAACACGACTTTAAAACCGATCGATGGGTGAATGTACAGTATTAATAATGCATATGTCACATAATCACGAGTGTATCCGTCCACTCTGTCGTTTATTAACTTGTTTACGCACCAGGCTCCACTGTCATCAGTAAACACTTCTTCCAACGACACGAGCTGCATCACCTGATTCGCTTTAATTCACCTATTGCTGCGTATAAACACCGTCTGCCACCACGCAGCCTCCCACAACAACACACACACACACACACATCGACACACACACATCGACACCTGGCGCACCCCCAGGTAGCCTCGGGGCAGTGGTATATTCCAACACTGCTGGCCTTTATGTGTTGTCATAGTAACGACAGCGAGGTTTTCTCCTATAGAAGCTCATTACAATAATTCTGAAGCCAGAGGAAAAAAAATAAAAATCTTGTTTTTCTGCCTCGACCCGTCACCCCTGCACTCGCTCCTGTTTTTAAAAAAATAAATCTTCTTTTCGCTTTCGAGCCTCGTCGCGGCTTCACCTTTCCCCACCTGCGTCGATCAACAAAAATAAAACCCTCTGACCGCCGTGGAGAGCGTAATGAGAGTGTGTTTTTTTTCTTTTGGCGTGTGGGAGTCGCACCAAAGAGTCAAGTTGTGTGTCAGCGCTGTGTGGAGGATGCAGACTGCAGCAGTGGGCATCGGGACAATGTGCATCCAGCCCTCCTTGTTTTCGTGTCTGTTGAGTTGTACTCGAATCTCTGAGCGCCGATTGGATGATTCACCCGGCGAATGGGGGCTTGAAAAATGTGTGTTTATTCACACGTTTAATGGGCTACGCATAAAAGAAAGTAGGTGAGCTGGCGAACGCTCAGAGAGGTTGGACGCGCCGAAGGATGAAAGAACACTGGTGCAGGCTCTCTGGGAGTCGTGGGGATGAGGAATCGTCTCCGTCGGTCGCTTTGGAGAAGATGCAAAGAGAATGAATGAGTTATTTTAAGTGTTGCTCTCGTGAGTTCTTTATTTAAAAAAAAAAAAAAAACATCATGCAGAAGTTATTAAACTGCATGTTGGCACGAGTGCATCCGAGTCTGTAAAGGGAACACAAAAGACTGGTGCGAATAAAATCCTGTTTCTACAGCCAATCATCTCGATAAAAGACTTTTTCTACACGTGCATTTTATAATCACTCAGCTAGCGGCCACATTATGACGCAACTCAACTCTCACTGTGGTTCAATATAAAGTCCTGCACCTCCATGGAGACACAACAACCACGAAGGAGGACAGTTAGAACGACAGAAATCATAAAAAAATGAAATTCTCTGATTATTTATTTTACAAAAAATGCAACAACCTAAACATCTACTTGTATTGCATTTTTCCAGCATGTGTTACCAACAGTGGATAAAAATATGGAGCTCTTTTTGTTTATTTACTTCTTTTCTTGCCTTTGCGTAAACACTGTCTGTAGTTCAACCGAAAAGTCCTTAATTTTTTGTTCACACGACTGCTGGCTGCAGCTGAGACACTCAATAGTTTCACAGTTAAACAGAGAAGTGCAGAATTTTTTGTTTTTTCAGAATATAGCTCCTGCAAAAGGCTTATCTTTGGTGAATTTTTATATGTAGAGACACACCGAAAAAAGTGATTCTAAGGAAACGCCACAATTTTAAGCTCAGATTTAGTTGTGAATTGTTTTATTTGATTTAAGAAATAAAAATTCTTATGTTGCTAAATGTTAAAGCTACAGTTAAAGATGTGCTAATTACAATATGTACAATTATATGTACAGATACAGTGAATGATGTTTAATGAGCAATCTGAAATTACTGACATGTTTAAGCTACACAGGAAGTGCTTTTATTTTGAAGTGTCCACAGGCAGTAACATGCTCACTAGTTTGTTTTCTGAAGACAATGTCGCTATGAAAGACGTTACCCCGTTTTCTGGTCAGCTGCAGCAGGTTTTGGAGAATGAATGCTGAGCTTAAACTGGTTCTGGTTACTCAGGAAGCTTCAGCTACACAACGGATCTGATTCATTTTCCAGGTGGAACCACGCGATTAGCTCGAGTATCATCGGAGAGTTGAAAATCTTTCTGTTTTTACAGTTTATTGCTGATAAATGGTGTAATTTCGGTGATTTTTTAAAACGACAACATGCTTTATAAACTCACCGGCAGGTATTTGCCTGTAGCGTCTCCCGTGTCGACATGTTTCACCATGCTGACATGTATCCTCCAACAACTGGCTCCTCTGTTCACCGTTTCTGAGCCATGCTGTATTTGTTTTATCACCCTAGTACATCTTATTGCTTTTGCAGGCTAAAATTGTACAAAATGATATGAAAAATGAGTTTGAAATGACTCAAAATTTGTTCAAAATGACCATTTCTCAATCATTATGGACCAGTTGAATCATTCTAGACTCAACTGGTCCAGTTGAGTCTAGTTTTAGTCCAGTTTTAGAGATGTTCCACCATGCTGACATGTATCATCCAACAACTGCCTCCTCTGTTCACCGTTTCTGAGCCATGCTGTATTTATTTTCTGATCCAGTGGGTTGGATTTTCCTCTCAGTTACTTTAATCTCTTTCTATTGTCTTTGTAAACACTGCCTGCAGTTCAGCTGAGAAGTCCCTGCATTTTTTTCCCCCCACATGCAGCTGAGGCACTTGTGGTTTTTAGTTCGACAGAGAAGTGCAGAATTTTTAGTTTTTTGCAGGATCTAGCTGCTGCAAAATGCTCATTTTTGGTGAATTTTTACTCTCCAATACACAAAATAAAGAAAATGGCACAATTTTAAACTTAGATTTGATCAATTTCCAGATGCAAGCTGTCTATTTTCTGCATTTCTTTTTCAAAACGAGATGAAATATCGCAGTTTCAAGCTTAGATTTTGTTAGTTTTCCAACTCACATGATTTCTTTCAAGGGTGAAAGTTTAATCGATTCATTCTGTTTTTCTCCGCTTCACTCTTGGATAAATGGTGTCCTTTTTCATTTTTTATTTTTTAAAAGACAAACTTGCTTTCACAGGGTTCAGATGTCTCCTTTTGTACGAACGCTCGAGTAAAAGTTTGTGCAAAGGACATTCAGTTAATGGAAAAAAACGTTTCCAATGTCACATTCCAGCGTTGTCGTGTTCTGCGGGGACACATTGATACGAATGCATTGCATAAGAAAAGACATCCAGTTATGTAATCTTGTAAAAAAAAAAAAAAAAAACTGCTTTTCCCCAAACTCAGGTGAGTTGTGAAGTGACTTTGAGCTGTTGGGTGACACACAGTCCTCTGTCCACTGTCCTCTCCCCTTTGGCAACACAAAACACGAAGCGCCTCACGAGACCACTATTCCCAGGCAGTGTGTTATTTTTGAGCCTTATTCCTTCTTTCGTGACCTTATAAAAGGAAAAAAAAAAAAGCTACCGCCACTTATTTGCACATTTAATTTGAGATTATGTGACATTTAGCTGTGGAGCTATTAAAAAAAAACAAAACATTTTCTTGCATTTGAAAAGACACTAATTGCCTCCAATCACTCAGGAAGACGTGTCTGCTTTCAAATCGCTGAAAGATTTAACCAGTCGGACCGATCCCCCCCCCAAAAAATGTTCCTTTTTAGACAAAAGGAGATAAAGAACGGACGAAGAGAAAGAGACAGGAGACGTGACGAAGACTGACAGAGCGAAAGGAATATTTGGAAGAGGACGGAACACCTGTGAAGTGAAGCAAATAGAGGAGCAGTCGGCAGCTTAAACACTGATACTAACAGATGGACGGTGGATAGAAATAAACACATGGCCTCAGGGAAGGGGAGACGGACGGAGAGGGAGGGAAAGGCGGAGAGAGAGTGATGGATAGAGAAAGAGAAAGAGGTAGCTGGTGGTGAAAGAAAGCAAATCAAAGACCGACAGAGAAAGTGAGAGTGGGAGGACACGGCACACTGAAAGGTAGGACCTTCATTATGCAACGAGGACAGACAGGGGAATAACGAACACACCAACCGCTAACACGCTCTTGTTTGCACGCCCACGCACCAAAACACACAGAGGCACAGATGCAGGCTAATTCGGAGAGGATTGCCCAAATTACACAAATGGCAGAATCTCTCTCTCGACAGCGAGCTCTCTAATCCGCTGACCTTTGGACGAGGCAAGGACGGGCGGCGGCGGCGAAATGTACTGACCATGATGCCCGTGAGCAGACACACTCCTTTGCCACAGTAGGTGTGGGGAACCATGTCTCCGTAGCCGATGGACAGGAACGTGATGGAGATGAGCCACATGGCGCCCAGGAAGTTGCTGGTCACGTCCTGGGCGTCGTGATACCTGAAAGGTTCAGAGGAGGAAGTCAGGCGGTCGGCAGGGAAAGACAGAGTGAAAATGTTAAGCTAACTGGATCACTGGGGGGTGAAAGGCGAAGAAAGTTCAACTTAACAAGGGTTTAACTGGGTTAACTGGATCTGCGAATCCTAAAACCATAACTAGAGACACCTGGTATCGATCACAGGTGATGGGTATCAGTAGGAAATAACTGGTATCAATCAGATGTATTGGTATTAATCAGAGATAACTGGTATCCATCACAGACAATTGGTATTAATCAGAGATATTGGGTATAAAATTGGAGATTTATAGTATCAATCAGATAAAACCGAAGTTCTGTATGAATCAGAGATAATGGTATCAATCACACATATCGGTTATCAATCAGAGATTGACATTAATTGGTATTAACTGGTATTAATCAGGTGTTTGGTATATAATCAGAGATATTGAGTATCAATCAGATAAAACTGAAGTTTTATATGAATCAGAGATAATAGTATCAATCACAGACAACTGGTATTAATGAGAGATATTGGTATTAGTCACAGGTATTCAGAATAAAATCAGAGATATTGAGTACCAATCAGATAAAACTGAAGTTGTGTATCAATCAGAGATATTAGTATTAATCACAAGTATTCAGTATAAAATTGAAGATGTGTATGAATCAGAGATCAATCACAGTTATTAGGTATCAATCAGAAATACAGCTAGATATATTGTATCAATCAGGGTATTGGGTATCAATCAGAGATATTGGGTATCAAAAGGAGATAATTGGTATCAATCAGATATATTGATATCAGTAAGAGATAAGGAACAGACATTGGGTATCAATCCCAAATTTTGTGTATCAATCACAGATTTCGAACATCAATCACACATTTTGGGTAGTAATCTGATATATTGGTAATAATCAGGGATATTGATGTCAATCAGCCGAATGGGTATCAATCAGATTATTGGGTATCAATCACAGATATTGGGTTTTAATAGACAACAACTGTGACTGGGGTATCCATTAGAGATATTGGTATCATTAAGCTGAGATATTGAGTTTTAATCACAGATATTGGGTATCAATCACAGGTATTGGGTATCAATCACAGGTATTGGGTATCAATCACAGATATTGGGTATTAAACTTTAAACTTCATACATTTAAACATGACACCCAACAAGAGTGTTTAGTTCTGGTACTGTTGCATCATGAAGGACATGAGTCCAAATAAACAGGAAGGGTTGAAAATCAATAAATACCAATAGACTAATCAATTGATCTGTGTTTTATTAGCTGCAGCAGACTGGAAGCGAACCAGGACCGTGTGAACAAACATATTCCTGCATCACCAGCTGAACATAAGCAGCTCTGCCTGTAGTGACGCCACTCACAGCTACCGTAACGGCTTCATTCAGTGGGATCACTAAGAAACTTCTGATCTGCAAATCCACGACTCGAGAACATCTGTTGTGTCTCTACAAACCTGACAAATTAAGTAATTTGGGGATAATTTGTTGGTTTTTCTTGGCACAATGTTGCATCAGTCCTCATAGATTAGGAAGCTGATTTATGAAGATATGAAACTGAACTTATTTAATAGTGCTGCTCACCTTTGGTCACAAGATGTTCTGATTGTGTAGCAGAAGACGGCTGCACTTTAGGCTTTGTCATTTTACTTTTGTTTGTCTGTAAGTTTGGAGCTATTGTTCAGTTTTAATGTCATTGTTAAATTAAAAACTGTAAATAAAACCTAACACCAACACAAAGCTATTCTTACAAGAAACTTTAAAACAAAAAAAGAAACGTACATTTTTTTGTCTCGGATGTGAGCGGGAGATAATTTTAGTCTCCGTTTTCTACCCTGAAGCAACACAATCTCCAAAGTCTTAAATTTGCACCTAGTTTGAAGTTGTTTAATTGAATTTTCTTCATTAATTTGGTTTGGGGAGGAGAGGAAATGCCAATTAAAGTTGAATTTGGCCCAAACGAGGACTTCCCAGCAGCCGAGCGCTGATGCATTTAATCAAGTCTATTAACTGGCTGACATTTTCCCATATTTCCTTGATTACCTCCAAAAAAAAAAAAAAAAAAACCCCACTCAAACACATGAGAAGATATGTTTGCTTTCCACTCGATGGTGCATCCATACTGACATAACGAGACTATCCATCTTTAAATGCAACCCAGCAATTTGATTTAGGGTTCGAAAAGCTTCAATAAGAAGAGAAACAGACAGTTTGAAGGTGGTTTCATTTCTGAGCGTCTGCCAGCTGGATCAGATTTTGGTCAATAAATCACTAGTTTGCTCTGCAGGGCCATATGTTTACTGCTATATTAAATACAATATGAATTCTTGTGCCTGTGCATGAAGGACAAAGTGAAAGATTTCTCCTCTCTTGTGTGGATGTTTACTTGAACACCATCCCTCCCTGTGTAAGATTCATATAAAACCTATAAATAAATACAACATAACGCGGTGATAAGCTCATGTGAAGGGTGTTTTAATGTTCTCTTTAGTGTATTTGTGAACAAAGACGTCTATAGCTGCTGTATAAATAATTAAAAGAACAGTTATGTGGTTAGATGAGCAGATTAATAGCGTGCATCACTGTCTGTTTGCTTAGCTTAGCATGTAAACTGTGCACAACAACCAGCTTGGCTCCATCCAAAGGTAAGAAAAAGGATTTTTATTTTTTATTTTTTATCTTCTTGGAGTCGCTGCTGTTTGCTTGGCAAACTTACAGTGACGTCAGGAAGACGAGAGCCAACAAACAGTCCGTGTAAAACCACAACGTATTCACACACACTCCGCTTTTTTTTTTTTTTTTGTACATCTGTAATTAAAATGTTCATTTGTACTTTCACTGAATGAGATAAAAAAATGTTAATTAGTGAGATTTACAGTAGCTGGTGGGCAGATTTAGTTACTTTTGGGCAGAGCAAGGTGACAATTTCCAGGGTTTATACTAATCTCTGCCGGCTTCCTGCAGCCTTAAGGCCAATTTATGGTCTCCGGATAACTGATGCGGACTTTAAAAGCGGAAACATAAGCAGCTTTATTGATGTTACAATAGGTACGCCACGGGCTGTCAACATACAGCCTCATATAGAACACAGTGACTTTGCACTTTTCCAAGGATACAGCAGCTTGTTACAGATTGGACTGAGCGCAGCGACGACAGAGCTCGGGATATCTGGAGATTTTAATCAAACCACCTCCAGAATACTGCGGCAAAAACTTCCAAAACTTCAACTACAGCTACGTTAGTGATGACGGAGAAGCTCCCAGAGTGTTGTGGTTTCACCGTCTGCAAGTATGTGAGAATTTTGTTGGTGCAGAGCAAAATCTGGGCAGTTGTGAGCATGCATGAATTATGTAGATATGACCTAGTGCACATGTATGAAATATAGTGAGTAATATCACAACAAATTTCCAGCTGTTCCTGGGTTTAATTAAGGGCTTAATAACTACACGTTGGACATCGCACACAGAAAAACATTCAGGGCTCCTGTGGATGTTCCTGAAAGGCTGCGATTTTGCACTTTGTCAGGAAACAGTAGCTGGTTTCAGACTGTAACACTGTGTTAGTGATTATTCAAGAGGAAACACAGCACAGGATATCTGGAGATTTTAGGACTTCCTACTGTGTTTGGGCTCTGAAATCATGTACAAATCAAAGCCTGCAGCAAAAAATTCCACTGCAGCTGTCAGTGAGGATGTATAAAGGTGCAGATGATGGAGAATCTCCTCTTAAGAGTCTCCTCGCAGGGCCAGTGTTGTGGTTTCGTCGTACCTGAGAATTTCATCCGTGTGCAGACCAAAACCTGTGTCGCTACAAGAGCAGCCGTGTGCATGAATAACATCCCTAGATATTACCTGCTGCACATGTATGAACCGTAGTCCTCAAAGTGGACTAGTGAGTAGTGTCAGAACAACAACTTCAGGTTTGCAGCATCCATGTGCGCATCTGCGGTCATGCATCATGCATCGGACGGCCTCGTTGCTCATCATATCGAACACAGAAAAACACTCAGGGCTCCCAGGGAGGCTTCAGGAAGGCTGGGACTCTGATCTCCTTACAGGTTATAGCAGCTGCTCATAAACTGGACTGGAACAGAGTTTTTGATTATTCAGGAGGTGTGTTGGGCACATAGCGCAGGATATCTGGAGATTTGAGAACTTTTTGAGCACTGTTAATAGAAAGCATATGCTGCGACAGGATGAGTGCACGTGCTCGGCAGTAATGTGCATGTGCAGAACATGCAGCTATGAGCCACTGAGCATGTAGAGAGAAGTTTTAGAATAATAACACATCCATGTCTGCACGGAAGTCAAATCAAGGCTTTACAAGCATTCGTTGTTAGTTTTTTGTTGCACCAGTTGTCTGCAGAGTTTTGGGCGGCTGTAGAAAGCGTAAACTGACCTTGATATTGACATAAGAGTGATATTAATCTTCTTATCTCTTTCTTTAAGAAGGCAAATAAGCTTTTGTGAAACAATTTCAAGATCAAGAATGAACTTTTAAGTGTGAAATGCCTACATGGATTTCAAACATAT